CTCTAACTGTGCCTGATCAGAAAATCTGCCACCACACATGTCCAAGCCCATCTTTTATTTTTTAAAATCCTACACAAGCAACCTCCCCATAACCTTGTTAGGCTCAGTCTGTGCATTTTACCCCTTTAGCTGTAGCATAAGTCCTAATAAAACCAGGCTCAGAAGACATACTATTGTCTCTTCTTGATTTCTATCTCAAGATGAGCTAGTAACACCAAAGACCACTGGCACCAAAGTAGCCTGAAAGCAGGACTGATGGAGAGCAGTGGGGAATTGCCAAGAGCCACCCTTGGGAGAGCTGCCAGGACAGTGGCTGATGAGGGTCACTAACACTGAGAGCACACAGTCTCTAGCATTCAAAGCTCAGGCCCATTAACACTAAAAAAATTTACAGTTGGCAAGCATGGTGGTGCACACTTATAATCTCGGCTATTTGAGAGGGCAAGTTTAAGGTCGACCTGAACAACTTAGCAAAACCCTATCTCAGAAACTAAAATGGGCCAGGGATGTGGTAGAGGAGTTGTATATTTGCCTAGCATATTTAAAGCTATGAGTTTAATCTCTAGTATTGCTAGAAGAAAAAAAAAGAGTTACCTTTTACTTGCTTGTGATTACTATACAAACTGAACAAAAGAACCCTCAGCCAATTGGTGATATCTTGTTTGAAAAGAATAAAAATTTTTGTGCATGAAAAGAGTCAGTGAGGGAGAGACACAAAGGAGTAGAGAGCCTGTATGGAAAGCTGTGTATTTTAAACTTGTAATATGAATTTCTACACTTAAGTATCCTTGATAACTCTTGTGTATATTTAATATTAAAAAGAAGGTGAGGAGACTCAGTGATGCTTTACTTTATAGAGCACTGAGAGGGAGTGAGTTCCTGTTGAGATTTAACTTTTTACCTATAAGCACGGCAACATAGGAGAATGCCAAAACAAATCGATAGTAGGGCAGATCACTCGGACAGACATCAGTCACTGCTCACGCCTCTCCTAGAGGTCACAGCTCTGCCCTTTTGTGCTGAGAAGTGTGTTGGAGAAGTTCACACAGGACCCCTTTGAGCCAAGCGGTAGCCCTAGACTTGCATTTGTGTGTTAGATTTGAAATCAAATTGGAGACACTGACTTTTAGGCATAAATCATACCTGCTAGTTCCTTGAGTCCAAATGCTGTGTCCACTGGCACAAAATGGAAGCAATTACCCAGATAACTCAGCCTGTGGATGAAAATGTCTTTGAGTTGAACCTAAATCATGCAACCCTCTCTATGTTGATCAGACAGTAGGTACCAGTTTAGCGGGGGTTGAAGCACTGTACTGTGGTGGCTAAAACAGTAATATTTGCAGCCGGGCTCCCTTAGTTCAAATCCTCCTTTACTCTTGTGGTGAATTAAAGATGGTCTCGAATTCTCTGATGCTATTCTCATGGAGAGGTGAGATCTACGTCCCCTCCCTTCACATCTGAGATGACTCTGCGCCTACTTTGGCAAACAGAATAGGGTGAAAGCAGCCTGCTCTGGTATCCAATGCAGGCCTTAGGAAAATGGGAGCTTCCGCTTATCTCTAAAAGCCTTGGGCCACCATGGAAAAGTCCAACTATACTGCTGAAGAGGCCATGTGGAGAGCTCTGACACCACAGGGAGAGAAAAGGGCATCCAGCTGATCCAGTCTTATAGCCATCCTATCCGGGCATCCAGCACATGAGCGACACCATCTTAGACCCAGAAATGAAGGCAGCCCTTAGCTGAACGAGAGCAAATAATCCCAATCTATCTCACCTGGTGCAGAAAAATCTCCAATGGATCACTACCCATATTCCTGACCCACAAAATAATGAGATATAATAAAATGGTTACTGGATTTTTTCCCCCTTTGGGGTTTTGGCAGTATTGGAAATTGAGACCAGGGCCTTCATACTGAGCTACATTCCTAGAGCATTTTTATTTTTCATTTTGAGACAGGGTATTGCAAAGTCGCTACCCAGAGCAACACTTAGCAGTTGTTTTGATTTCCTCGTCCCTAAAATATAGGTAATAATTAACTTACCTGCCTTATAGAATTGTTCTGAAGATTAAATGAGTTATAACATGGAGCTATTAGGCAAGTGCCCAACATTCAGGAAAAGTTATGTAAACGTTGGCTCCTACCGTGAAATGGTAGATGAAAACTAGATTCTGAGAGATAGTCTAAGGGGGCTGTGTCCTCTAGCTCCTCAGGCCTGTTGATCCTTTTGGCGTCCAGCCTAACCCAGGATAGTGGCTCCTTTGGAGATTTTCATTTTGATATTTGCTGGGCACAGGGGAGTGAGTCATGCCAATGACAGTTTACTATTCCACTTAAAGAATAGCCAGTGCCTTCTCCCAGTCCAGGTATTTCCCAACCTTCTGGTTAGTGAGTTCCACCTAAGTATACGGCAGGTCCTGAGCAGGTGCTCCTGCTCCTGGGCTGTGTCACTGAACTTCCCTCCTGAACTCCCACATAAACAGACAATAGGCAACAGACCACCAAGCAGAGCACCCCAAGGAAGATTCCCAGACTCTCATACCACTTTAGTACCTCCAGTGGTCTTGGTGACCTCACTACTTCCTGAGTCCGAATATCACCAAGCCTCCCTTCCTTCCCCCATCTTCCTCTTCTGATTAGGTGTCCTACTTCCTGCTGAGGGTCTGAAGGCACAATTACTAGTTGAACAAATAACGAGTTAGTCACTATCCAAATATTTAGAATCTCAAGTGACCAGGACATTCCAGAGAAATGACTGGCATTCAGGGTTTCCCCTCCCTACACAGGACAGAAAATGCTCAGGCTTTCCATCAGCTACTCGGGTACCACATATTCAAGAGAAACCTGAGGTTGACCCACAGTATCCTTCTCTTTCTTCTGCTCATTTGGATTATACAGACAGACAACTCCAGGAGCTGGTCTGAAAAGTCTAGGACATCTGTGCAGGGTTGTGTCAACCAAATGCCATGATGGTAGTAACTTCTAGGAGAAAAATACACAGTCTCTTGATAAAGAAAAAACACTACCTGGTTCCCAAAGAGGAACTGCCTACCTCCAAGGTGGCATTTTTTGTTTAATCTTTTATATCCCTAGTGCCTTGGTTGTCTTTAATAAGATTACACCCAAGGCTCCCTGTCAAAGGCTGGTGGGTTATGAATCAGGACCATGCACCTGTAGGTTGTCAGAAAATAACCGAAAGCAAAGTGATAACAGTCCTTATCTGCTGGTAGTGGAACCCAGCTGGACCTCCCTTTTCTTCTTCCTGCTTGTTCTCATATCTGACTTTTCTACCAAAAGAAAATCACATAATATTTTGTAATAAGAACTAGGCATACTTTTACTGTTGCTCAGAAGGAAATATCTCCTATTTCTGACACAGTGTCACTCTACTGTTTATATTAAAAAGGTTATTGTTTGTTTGTTTGTTTCTACAAAGGGAAAATCTATTCGAGAGATCATAGTGTGGATATCGACAATACAGTACTGGTTTACACTGTTCGCTTATGTCCTCATATCCCTCACTGGGATGACCTCACAACACTCATCTCGCCGGGTTGGCCAGTGTCTTTGTCCGGAGAAGAGCCACGACACCTTCCACCTGCCAGCGAGTTTCACCTCTGTGCTTGGCATATTGTGTGTGCTCAACGAACACTTCTGGTTCTTTTTTCCTCTTCCGCTCTGGAGACAGCTAAGTGGATTCATAGGGCAAACAGCACACATCTCACAGACGCTTGTGAGGAACCTGTGTCCATCTGGCCTGACTCCTGAGTCCTTCCCAGCTCCTCTGTCCAACGGTCCCAGAGGCTTCAGGGCTCTGCTTCCCTGAGACAGGTCTCACCCTAATTGTATGTCACTTGCTTTTTATTTTGCAAACATTTGCTTCCCTAAAAAACTCCTACCATACATACCCCACTCCCCACAATAAATATATTCATTATGTATTGCAGACATAAACTAATAAAAAAATTTTTTTTAACTTTTTCTGTTATCTTAATTCAGACCTCTAGACTCTCTGATGGAGCTTGCGAGGCTCTGTGCTCTGCCCCTCGCCCTGCAGCTGTGGCATCACAGTCACCGCGGTACCAGGCAGGGTCTAGGCGTGGCAGAGACTTCCCTCAGTGCCACACGGCAAGTTAACAACTGAATCATGCTCCTGCCGGTTGGCAAATTTCCCAGTCAGGGTGCATTTTACTGCCTTTCACGACCTCGAACTGCTCTTCAGCTTTGTCCCCTGTGCCACCAGTGGAAACTCAGTGTCTTCCCTCTCCTCCTGTACCTGACTCTCCCCGTATTCTCTATCGACGCAGAAGATTTTACTTCTACGTGGAAGACAAAGCTGAACAAGTTGATTAGGAAAACTGTTTCTGCTAATTCCATGACATCATGTAAGGAAGAACATAGAACTCGAGTAATTGAGTAGCAAGTAAAGAAATACAGCTACCAGGCAATAAAATGAATATTTATTCTGATTTTTTTTAATCTGTAGGTCTGAGTTCAGTGTTATCCAATTAGGCCATCAAATTATTTTCATATTGAGGAAGGCAGAAGCTCCTTTTGATAATCCTGCATTCCTGGCTTTCAGCGGAAAAGAGCAAAGACGACACACGCGATAGACCATTAAGTCCTTGGAGACATGATTTAGCCAGTATGTAATCCAATTATGCAAGTGATTCATAAGGAGCCCATCGGAATATTTCTTTATTTAGACAGAGGCATTGTCAGATTAAAGGTGCAGTGGTTCCAAACTGTTTTTTCCAGCCCTCTCTTCGATCGCAACAGTGTGTCTTGTCTGGGCTGGTGGATTATTAACAGAGGTCATTGGTCTCCATGGCAAAAAGATTGAGCGATTGCACTGAATGTAATCTCATTTATGGGGGTGCAAAAAATATAAATATCCATTGCCATCAAGGGCCGCTGTAGTTGAAAGGCTAAAGCAGCTCCAAGGATACAGTTCACAGAGATCTGGATCTCAGTCCCCAAGTACTGACTGAATCAGGGACAACCACCAGCCCACTCCAGCCAAAGCCTTGAAGGGACCTGTAAGAGGGCAGCGAGGGGCTGAGTGTCATCGCCGGGCCCAGCATGTGCACTGGGAGCTGCGCCAAGTGCCTGGGGGGCACCCTCATCCCCCTGGCTCTGTTTGGCTTCCTGGCTAACGTCCTGCTGTTTTTCCCTGGAGGAAAAGTGATCGAGGACAACAGCAACCTGTCTGAAGAGGTCTGGTATTTCGGAGGAATATTAGGAAGTGGGGTCTTGGTAAGTAGGGATACTTTCAAATCCCCCTAAAGCAGATTCCCCCTTCTCTTACCCTTTAAAATCAGGCACTTGGTGATCCACAAGATATTTAGAAGCTAACAGAAGCCCAGGCATTGCATGAGGAAAAGAAATGCCTTTATTTCTCCTCTCTGACAAGAACATGTTGATTTACTAAGCAATTAATCCCCAAGCTAAGCTTGGCAGTTCCTATGGGACAGTCAGGTCCCATGAACCAGACTGAAGGCCACATAATTGCTTTATTGCATGATAATGTCAAGAGAATTTTTTAAATAAAATGTAATACTTTTTAAACCACAAAGCAACACACATGTCGGAGCAGCCCTCTCTCACTGAGCTCCAGTGATTTTGTTACTCCTTGCTGCCAGCAGAGTTGGGAACCTCTGGGGTAGAAGTGGGGGGGTCTCGGTTTTTATGATAGTTGAGGACAAGTTCCTCATTCTTGCCCTAACCCCCATCTAAATGGAAAGTCAGGTGCAGTCCTGCCTCACTGAAGCTGAGCTCACTCGGCCGCCTGGAACCCCATCTCCAAGGACACCTATCCACCCTGTGAGCCAGGCTGTGGGTCCCTGCCATCCCCTTTGAGCCCTGAGCCCGACAGGGTGGAGAAGGCTCTTCACCTGTGGGCAGGCCTGGTCCTCCCCTCCCAGCCCCTCTAAAGTGCCTCTCTCTTCCTGGCAGATGATCTTCCCTGCGCTGGTGTTCTTGGGCCTGAAAAACAACAATTGCTGCGGGTGCTGTGGCAGTGAGGGCTGTGGAAAGCGATTCGCGGTGAGTTACCCCCGGGGGAAGCCACCTGAATCACCTCAGGGCGGGTCTCCCTGTGCTGGACAGCACAGGGGTAGAGACGAGCGACCAGTCTCGGCCAGGACTCTGGGGCAGCTGGCCCAGGTAGGAAGCCCTGCTTCTTCCCAATGGCACAAAGGAGCACGGTAATAAATGTTCTGAGTGTCACAGGGGCTAGGACACAGTTTCAGGCTTTGCAGACAGGCAGGGATGTCACAGCTGGAAATCAGGAGTGGTGACGAATGCAGGTTTGGAAGGCAGAAGTGGGGCTGTAGCTCTGCCTCTGCCATAAGAGGCCTTGAGACCAAGGACAAGTGACTTCCTTCCTCTGGCCCTGCGTGGCCCTGTCCTGGGGACTTGGCACAGGACAGATGATCACTTCCTCACAACTCCCTGCATGCCCCGTCTCTACCCACAACCTCGCTACCTCAGAGGCCCAGCACATCCCTGTGTCCCCCAGACTCTGCAGTAGACTTCTGCTTCTGCTCTTGTTTCCGGTCTTGTTGCTGTCTTTGTAGCCGAGCTAGAGAGAGTTCCCTGCGGCCTCCATCTTTGTAAGTGAGGCAGCTACTTTCAGGGCCGGGGAGAAGAAAGCTGGGACACTGGGCCCCATCTTTGCAAATGGGCAAGACACCACACTGCCCTGCCCCTCTCTGCTCATGGTAAAATGAGGAAGCTGGACTGTCAGAACCCCCCAAGCAAGCTCACATGCTACACAGATGTGCTGCGTCTTCGAACACAGGATGTTATTCCCTTCTTGCTTCTCCTTCAAACCTTTTTATTCTATCAAGGACAAATATATTATTTTTTGTTTTTTGTGGTACCAGGGATCGAACTCGGGACGTTGTGCTTGTGAGGCAGGCGGCAGAATCACTGAGCTAAATCCCTGGCCCCCCCAAAATCTTATTTTGATGGAAATAAATTTTTTCTATCTCTAACCCTTCACAATCTCCCCTTCTAACAAAGAAAGAACAAGCTCAGGCTCTGGGAATTCCAGCAACATTATTTAACTGAAATTTAGTAAAATTATGTTTGTATTTGCTAAGGATTGTGGGTTTCTTTCATGATACCGGTATAAGAATAAAATAGAACATTTATTTAAAGAAACATAATAAGCATTCATGCAGCAAAAAAATAAAAATGGTAAACTGGAATTACCGGGGTCCCAAAAAAGCAACTTTTATTTTAACAAGTAAGGTTATGGTTTACACAAAGTGTAAAAGAGAACTACAATTTACTTGGCATAATTAACTTATATATGTTATATTTGATAGATACTTTCATATAATTAATTATAAAGGAAAGGAAGAAATATGACTCATTTCCCCTTGAAATATAATCCCACTCTTCCTCGTGAACCTTTGTAGAATAAGTTGGAGGTGAGAGTTTGAAAAACAAAATTACCAGCTAAGAAATATGGATGAAAAGAAAGAAGAATCGTAGCTTAGAAATCTAGCATTTCATTCTTTGTGCTGAGCAGAAGGCTGAAGACTGACTAGCATAAAACTAAGTTTTTGTTTATTTGTTTGTTTGTGTTTAGGGGCTATTTTATAATCTCAAAGAGACATGAAATAGCTTTCAACATATTATGCAAAACCTTTTTAAAATTAGATTTCAGTGAAATCCAAGAAGAAGGCAGAAAAATCATGTTTTTGCAAACACAGTTGAGCCAGTATGACCCGAAATATTTGGTCATGCTGCAGAAATCTAAGAGACTGGAGAGACTCACAGACAGAAACAGGAGGACTTTATTCAGGGTGCATACCTGGCTCAGATGGCCTAGTGTCCGGAAGCCACAGAGACAGAGAGTCCCTTATATACAGCTCCCAAAACTTCCAGGGGGCCTCTGCCTTGGAAAGAGTTGAGGACAAAACTTCCAAATGCCTGGGCAGTTCCCCTCAAAGGACCAGGTGCACCAGGCTGTAAACCAAGTCACACAGCCACAGCTGCACTGCAAGGGAGAGCCAGCACAAGAGTTCCTCAGATTTATTTTGTTTGTGTTTTGGTCAACTACCAGCTTTTACAAATTGAGAGATAGCACAAAAATTGCCCAGATGTCTTCCCCACGCCAAAAATAAAAACAAAACACTACCCTGACGTGCCTGGGCCCCATTTTGGCACAACAGTGGCCTGGCCTGAGCTGGGCATGGCTGAGCTGCTGGGACGCTTGAAGGCTGCTGCACCCGCTCCAAGTCCAGTTTGCACTCTTTGGTGCTGTGTTCCCTTCTGGTGTGGAAGCTCTGAAGCATCAAGAGAAGATATCTGTGGACATTTGATCAGATGAAAAGAAAAAGGCTACAGTATACCTTGGTTAGGACTCGAATGCTGAAGATGTAAATCATTTTGCAGGTGTTCAGGGCCTTCCCCTTCAGGGACTAAGGGACTCCAGGCTTCTTTGGAGCTCTGCTGAAGTAGGCCCTGTGGGGAGGGAAGGCTGCTTGTGAGGCAAACACCGAGGAGTTCCATATGGCCAGGCTGCGCTCTGCCACCTTCTGTGCGCCTTGCTCTTGCTCACCTCTTTCCTTGCCTGTCTCTCTCCTGGCTTTATGTCCTTCTGGAACATTCCCCAGATGTCAGTTGTACCACTGGCTTCCTCAGGTAGTAAAACCAAGATGTAGGAGATAGGAGAAACAGGATGTGGTGGCTCCAGCGATAAAATGACACAATGAGCTGAAAAGAATCTGGAGTCCACCTAATTCATAGTTTCATGGTGAACCTTAAAAGAAATGAAGACAAGCTCTTCTCTGAGGCCAGCAAGACGGAGCTCATCCCTGGGTCTGCACTCTTCCATATAAATGAGGCTAATTCAGTACCAGGGAAATAAACTCTGGGGCAAAAATAGTGAAAATGGGGTGGTGTTCAAGGAGGACTTTGAAAACTCTGACGTGGCTGTGTCCTCAGATCACAGCCTCTTCTTCCTATCCTGTGGATCGTGAGCTGGGGGTGTAGCTCCTCAGGGAGTAGCCCTGGCTCAATCTCTGGCATGGAAAGAAAAATAAAGAGCTCTCAAGGGCCCAAAGGGACAAAGGGTCAGCTAATTTTATCAACTCATTAATGTCAAAATATATGCTTTAATAATATATTTATGGAGACTTTGGACTTGACTCAAAGGGAGTGCCTTTAAGTATAGGACAAAATAGATAGATAGAGGAGATATTTTCAGGCAGGCAGGCAGACACACACGGGCAGGGCCAGGTTGTTGACGCCCCTTAGAAGTCAATGGGCTGCAGTCAGCATGTCTTCCCTGCCCAGCTCACCAGTGCCCCCTAGCGAGGGCTCTGAAGTGAGCATTTCTGGAGATTCCCTCTGAGAGGCTCTGGAGGCCAAAAACATCGACTCCCTCATCCATCCATCCATCCACTCATTCATTTTCCTTGGAAAAACAGCCAGTGTAAGGAGGGCAGAGATTTAAGAAAAAATATTTTTGAGTGTCTTACTAAGCCACTATATTTCTCAGCGGGGCTCAAACTTGTGATCCTCCAGCTTCAGCCACTGAGAGTGCAGGGGTTACAGGCTTGTCCGCTATGCCTGTATTGTAATATAAAGGCATTTTTTTTTTACAGGCTAGATTTTCTTAAAGAAGAAATTAATGCATGGGACTGTATTTCTTCACTGATTTCTAGCTGTAAAATACTCCCCTATAAAACAGGTCATGACAATGCTTTTCCTAAAGACATTGTAAGCATTGAGGAAAAGCAGTGGAGAGCATTCATGTAAAGGTAGGGGCAAGAAACACCAACTAAGTGCTAGGGGAATCGAGGACATGTAAAGTCCCGAGAAACATTTGCCAGATTAATGAGTAGTCAGGAGGAGTTTCCAGGGATTTCCATACTTTAGCAAGCTCAGTTTTCCCAGTAACCCTTTGAGCTAGGCTTTTTAATTCCTCCTTTTATAAATGGGGAAACCAAGGCTGGTGCAAATGAAGTTCCTGGGCTGCCACCCCTACTCCCCCTTTCCCAAGTCTAGCCAAGGCAGAAAATACAGGACTGTACCGTTAGAGAAAGAAAACCCGGGTACTCTCCATACATCTCTCAGAATGTTATCCATGCCCATCTGAGATCTTTGCCCAGCACATTACCACTGCCAAGTCTCCGAATACTCCTCGAGGTCACTGCCTTCCCTCCCCTTCTCAGCCTTCACTGTCTTCTCCACTTGCTTTGTCCAACATAAATACATAGGTGGCCAAAGACACGTCACAAACGTGACAGAGACGGGATCCGATGTTTTCACAGCCCCCTAGACAGGGAGGCGTGAAGACTGGGAAAGGTGAATTACAAAGCATCTGATCATTGCACTTGCTTATCTTCCATTGCAAGGGAAGCATTTACAGGAGATCTTGGAAATGTATTTCTTCAACAGTTTGAACAGTCTGTGTGTACTGAAAAGGCTTACAAGTACTAGTTGTGTATCTTCAGTTTTCTCCCCAGAGTTTTGCTCTCTGTATTGGTGGAAAGTAAAAGTCTGTGAGAACATGAAAATAAAATTATTGTAATATACTTATAATGTAATTATTATAATATAAATTATTATAATTGTTGTCGATACAATAATATAACATCGATCAAGTGCTTGTTAAGTCATGAGAAATTATTCAAACCTTGGGAATAGGGAAAAGAGATTGCTGGTGCCCAATCAGTAAAATACTGGTCATTATCCAGTAGCTCATCTCCCAAGGGGTTTTCTTGCGAGCGTACCTTTGTTCTTACTACTGATCAGGTTCCTTACATATCATCAGCTCTGTGAGACAGGCCCTCATTATTAAACTTTATTTTACAGAAGGGGGAGTAGACACAGAAGTATTAACTTGCCAAGGTCAGGCTGTCTGCCTGTAACCCATGGGCTTGACCCTCTTACCTTTCATTTTAAGTAGTAAATCACGCCTCTAACACAGAATCTATAAAGCCAGCTCGTGTCCCCGACTCCAAAGTCGGCCAGCACCACTCTGCAGAGATATCCCAGGCCTTTAACTTTTTACTTTAAATAGTATCAGTTTTGGAGTGTCAACTCTAACTCATTCAATGTGCTCTCAATAACTTTTCTTTCCACATAAAACATCTTGTATCATCAAAGCCATGATGAATCAAAGTTATTCCACAGTAGAAACTGACCATCTCTCTAAGTAGTGAATTTGACAATTTTTGAAGGCTTCCCAATGGAAAATCACTTAGGGCACAAGATGAACTCTGCTTGCTGTGGTTCTTCCATTCTGGAAAAGTTATGAGAAATCCGCGTGAGGTATTTATGCTACTTATTTTAAAGTAAGATGTTCCAACTTTGAATTTGAAAACAGAATATATCACTTATAGCTCTATGAAACTGGAGCCTAATGCCGTATTTTCTTCAGATGTCTTATGACATCTCCCTTCTTTTTGACAGTAATTAGAGTCATGAACTCAGTTGCAAACCATACCCAAACTTTTAAAATTTTTACTACCAAAATTTAATTTTTAAAATGTTCTCACTATACTATTGAGGAGGTGAAATGTGGTTGGTCCCATACTGAGGTGTGCTGCACTAGTAACATGCATACAAAATTCATACGAAAAGAAGTATGTTAAATATCTCAGCAATTTTTATACCGATTGTGTGTTAAAAAGATATTTTGGATATGTTAAGTAAAATACTCGTAAAATTAATTTATTTAACTTTTTAAAAATAGTGGTTACTAGGAAATTTTAAATTATGTGTGTGATTAACCTTATAGTTCCATTGAACGGGTCTGATCTGGAAGTGTTTACAGTAGTGACTTTTGTTTGTTGGTTTGTACCCGGGATCGAACTCAGGACCTTGTACTTTCCAGACAGGTGCAGCACAACTGAGCTACATCCCCGACCCTACAGTGGTGACTTTTTTCAGCATGTGATTTTTTTGTTGTTACATATTTACGGCAGATGATGATCACATTCATTGTGTGGAGTTGATACTCATAGATAACACATCTTAATCCTGTTTTCATCCCCTTTCCCTCCCCTTCCCCCCATCCATTTATTGACTCCTTGATAAAGGCAAAATTCATCTTCTCATCATTACTTTCTGTTAAACCAACTTTTCATGCACTCAGCTTAGCCTAAAGTGAGGGTCATTTGCATTTGTACTCACTTTTTATATTGCCAAACACGTGCCGGCTGAAATGTTTCTGGAAATCTTTTCTCAACTGACACGGCAGGACTGACACATGTCAAATTTCTCCTCTCACTATCAGCGAGCCGTTGTGGAAATCCTGGGCTGGCTCAGCTAAAGGAAACTTCTAGATTTGCCCACTCTGCCCCTCTGTTTACCACAGTGGTGCTGAAGGGGCTGAAACCTAGGTCCCTAAGAGACTAAACTGGAAATTCAATTTTCCTTTCTCATTTCAGCATGGAATGGAGCTGTTCCTTTAGCTGAAGAGTGCGGTGGTAACATTAAATGGTTTTTGAGGTTTCTCTATTATTGAAATATAATTTTAAGGTTATTTAACAATCTATTTAATGAAGCTCCTGGTTTTCAAAGGCTTTTAGCCTGTGACCCTTCCTCCACAGAATCCATTTTTCTGTGAGACATGAAAATAGCCCCATATATCCCATGCCAACAAGCGTTTACAGCTGGGTGTGGTGGTATACACCTCTCAGCACTCGGGAGGCTGCAGCAGGAGGATCATCGTGAGTTCAAGTCCTGCCTGGACTACATAGCAAGACCTTGTCTCCAAAACCAATCAACCAATGAACAAAAGAGCAAAACAAAATAAATGTTTACAGAACATTTGAAGACTTGCTCAGAAAGGGAAAGAAATTGCCCTGAGTATAAGATTGTTCTTGCTTTACTGGAATACCCTGGCCATCTCAAGAGTTAGACCAGCTATATCTAAGAGCAATTTTTTTGAAACATAGAGATGACTCAGAGACAGAAAAAGAAAGGAGCCACAGGTCACAAAGTATGTTTTTGCAGTGAGTCCCCCAAAAACCTTACAGGATGCAATGAGATTGGAAAACTCTGCAACTTGCTATAACTACTCTAATGGAAGGAAAAGCTGAATATAAAACTACCTCTTCTCTTCCCAGAAAGAAACTCTCTAGGCTGGGTAAATAGCTCTGAGGTAATTAGTAGTTATAAGGCTCCGGGTCTGATGCCCTCCTACTGAAGTGGGGTGGGGTGGGTTCTCTTAAAAATTTTTCCCAAAACACTGCTTACCTGCATCAATACATAAACTTTCAGTGACATACATACATTTTACATAACAGTCATATAAAATATAAAATAATGTTCTATACTGATTTTGAACTCTATTTCTCCCATTCATTTATTTTGAAGTATATTTGTGTTTCATTGACATAATTTTGTTGCTATTACTAAAGACCCCTTTTGAGTCATGAAGAGTTCCCAATATCACATCTTCTCTTCTTCCAAATAAGTTTGGGCATGTCATTTTTGTATCCAAGTATAATGCTGTCATTGGAATTTTTACTCTTAGCCACAAATATCAATTCCCAAAAGATAAAGGAAATGCAACATCATTCTTCTCATTCATATATATATAATCTCATAACTGTAAACAGTAAGTGCATAAGTGTATTCATTTTTAAATTTTTTTGGTAAAAGGCTTATTAACCAAAATGTTGAGAACTAGGAATGGTGATGTCAACCTTCCTAAAATAATTAACAAATATGTACCAAGAAAAAAAATGTTTTTTAATTCTGGAACCTAACATCGATTTGGCTGTTTCTGACTAATGTCTTCTCTACAAAGCAACTGTTTCAGAACAAAGTATGGAGGTCTGGAGTGCAGCTCAATGGCAGAGTCCTTGCCTAGCACGCACAAGGCCCTGGGTTCTAACCTTACTACTAAAAAGAAAGAGAATAAAAAGGGAGGAGGCAGGAAACAAAAGAAACAAAGAAAGATGGAGGGATTTGAGGAAGTACCCTATTGCCTCATAAATGAAACAAGGACTAAACTATAAGTCAATTTCCTCACTTCTGAGGGACAAATTAAGAGCTTGCAATTTTCCTTATATTCTAGCATACATAGTGTGTCACCTTCTTGGGGTTTCATATCCATTAGCACACAAATATCCTTAAAAGGGCTGGGGATTTAGCTCAGAGTTTCTGCCACCTGCCTCGCAAGTGCAAGGACCCAAGTTTGATCCCTGGTACCAAAATATGTGTGTGTGTGTGTGTGTGTACATATGTGTATATGTGTATATGTATATATGTATGCATGTATATGTATATGTATGGAATGAAACCTGTTTAACTTTACAAAATTCAGGAATTCCCCCAAATTATTCAACTCCATATTTGGTGTCTGGTTGTTTTTTTTAGGTCTTTGTTTTGTTTTGTTTTGGTACCAGGGATCAAATTTGGGACCTTGTGCTTGAGAGGCAAGTGGCGGAACCACTGAGCTAAATCCCCACCTCTTTTGGGGTTTTTTGTTTGTTTGTTTGTGTCCCTCCACACACCAGGAATTAAACAGAAGCCTATGTGCTTACTAGGCAGGTGTGGTGCTGCTGTGTTACGTACGTCCCAGCCTATGTTTTTATTTTTATTTTTGAGACAGTCTTGCTATAAAGTTCAGTCTGGCTTTAAACTCACTATGTAGTCCAGGCTGGCCTTGAACTGTGGCAATCCTCCTGCCTCAGCCTCCCAAATATTGGGATTACAGGCATGTAATCTCACACCCAGCTCTAACTACATGTTCCTTGCAAAAGCGATTGCCTGTTTTAGCATCATAAATTGACCAATTTTTGAATTTACTAACTTAGATCAAATTCACAATTCTTTTGGGCCAGGGATTTAGCTCAGTGGCATTTCGCCTGCTTCACAAGTTGCAAGGTCCTGAGTTTGAGCTCTGGTACCAAAATAACAAAAACAAAATTCACGATTCTTTTGATGGGGAGAATAGATTTAAGATACCACAAACATACAAAATGAGGGGAAAATATTTAAATGACTAATAGGAAATCTTAGTCGTTAAAACCATCCAACAAGTAGTTATCCAGTACCTTTGGATAGAGCAATGCCCTGTCATTAGATAACTCAGCGTTCGTGACTTTGAGGAAGCCGTGCTCTCTTTGAGGAAGACACGAAAAGCTATGCACTGGAGTGCTATGGGCATTGTGCTGTGCTAGAAATTTGTATAACCCAGAGCTCAGCAGGGGTGGATATGCATGGTCAGTACTACGGGAGAGTCAGCCAAGGCTTCAGAAGGCACATGAGGCTAGAACTCGGTCTTGGGAAAGCTGCATCAAGAGGCATTTAGCCGGGGATTGAGCTCAGTGGCACCGCACCTGCCTCGCGTCTACATATGACATGAAAATGAATGTTAGCTAAAGCCAAACTCTAGTATAAATTCCAACCACCAAAGCACAGTCAGGTTCTCTCCACCTCCAAGCTCCAGCTCCCAAATGCACGCCATGGTAATACTATTAATAATGCATGAAGGGGAAAAGGAAAAGTAGCTGATGTTAGGTTACTGCATCTAACTTGCATATTGGCCTTTTTTTTTTATTGAGGTTATTGGTACAATCTAGGTATACAATACAATTACATTCATCATTGGGATTCTGTACCTTTACATAAGAGGTCTTGATTCTCATTTTTCCCCTTGTCCCTGCCCTCCCTTCACCCCATCCTCCTCTCCCCATTTACAAACACTGTATTTCCATTTTTTCAGTTTCTCATATTTTTTCCTCTCCCTTATATCCTTCACCCCCTCCTGCCCTCCCCATTTACAAACACTGTATTTCCATTTTTTCAGTTTCTCATATTTTTTCCTCTCCCTTATTACCTTTCCCTCACCCTTCCCACTTTCCCTACACCTTTAGCCCTTTACTTCCTATTTCACATTATTAATTGTCTCATCAGGATCCTGTGTACTATTATAGTTTTTCACACCAAAGAAACTATTCGGTATTTCAGTTAAAGAAATCTCTGTATGAACATTAAAAATAGGGAATCCTAAAATAAAACTAAAAAGGAAAGTAAAAGAGAAAAGGCGATGATGTAGGATTTAAATAATCCTTAATTCTGGAGATGAAAATGGTCCCCAAACATTTTTAAATTGCTTCTTGCTCTTATAGTCTTATCTTATTCTTTCTTCATTATTTAGAGAATACTTTATTAGTTTCTGTAATCAAACCCATGTAGATATGACCTTACATATTTAGTACGATGTGTTACCCCTGTACACAGGGAAAAAATAAAAAATAAAAATAAAAATAAATTAACATTTCTAGACCACATATTGGCCTTTTTTGTGCCCGTTTTCAAAAACACTCTGAGGATATATTTGTTACACTCATCACACAGAGAAAAGTAGCTAAGCCAAGGTTTGAGAAAGAATCTCTTAACACATAAACCCTTGTATTTCATCTGCAAAGCAGCAGAGGTGATCACTCTTCCATCTTCATTTCCGAAATGATAAATGCTTTCATGCTACCTCTAATTAAGTTCGGAATAAAGATGGCAAAAGTTGTTAACATCTCCAGGCCTAATTTTTCTTTTTAATCTCTAAGTGGGGTCAGCCTCAGTGGACTCCAGCATTACCTGTGCTGCTCACGTTCTGTAATCCCATTTTTATGTTGCCATTGAAAACAGCAAAGATGCCAGTCTAATCAGCATCTTACTAATTAACCTCAGTCGTATAAAAATATTTAGAAAAGCTGGACTTGTTGGGATTGTTCGATCTGAAAGGAGAGGAAACTTTCAGAGGGCAGGAGAGTGGAGAGACAGCACAGTGAGCTTTTTTAAAGGTTGCTGCCACATGGAAGAAAGAGTTTACTGAACTTTTGTGGACTCAAGTGGAGATTGGCAGATGTTTACTCCTCATAAGCATAAGCAGAATCTGCCTTCCAGATAAGATACCATAGCGACAGCCTCAGTGGATAACTGGGCCAGAAATCTTTCAATATTTCTAATCTTAGAATTCTAATCAAGAATCTAACCCTAGATTATTTTATACTATAAGAGAACGGCCTTACGTTTTAGTCCTGTGAAGGAAATGTTACCCTTAATTTGTTTTTTTAAGGTGTTTCAATTATAACCCAACTTCAGTCATCAATGATTAAGTGAAAAGTATATAACGGTAGAGTGAAGGAAAAAAATAATGAGACACAAAAATTCATTCTGGAAGAGTTCACAGGCAGGTCCCACCCACCACAAAGCCTGGCTCCTTTCCTGCCAATTCCCTGCTGTCATCATGGCCAGCAGCAGGCCAGGTGGGTTTGTTGTAACCTCTACACCGTCTCAGAACATGGCCGTCTCTCTTTTCTTGCAGATGTTCACGTCCACAATATTTGCTGTGATTGGATTTGTGGGTGCTGGATACTCATTTGTCATCTCAGCCATCTCCATCAACAAGGGTCCGAAATGTTTCTTGGGCAATGACACATGGACCTACCCCTTCCAGAACGGGTGAGACTTCCCCCAGCAGTGCCACGGCTCCCCACAAGGGCACGGGCAGGTTACTCCCCAAGGCGAGACTGCACACAGTGTCTCATCGTCTTCATCACACGAGGGAGAGCTGGTGCTGTGGAGTGGAGAGAAATTACGCAGCACTCACCTCTAATTGCTCTCTCTTTCCTTTTCTTTTTATGGTATTGCGGATTGAATCCAGGGCCTTGCAAAGCTTGGCAAGCACTTTGCCGTTGCATCTCCAGCCTAATTGCCTTTTGACAGTCGGCAGGAGAAATAACCAAGAGGGCTCCTCACTTAGGAGAAGACTTGTGCCACTGCCACTTGCATCCAAATATTTATTAGCAGCAACGTGAGCCAACCAATAATATTAATACACAGAGTAGTGGCCTCTGTTACAGATCTCATAATAGAAAATGAGAATGGTTACTCACTAACTGGGCTGAAAGACTTGCGCTAACACCCAAATTGACACAATCTGTTAAGGTGCAAATTTACAGAAAATGACATTGAAAATGCTATTGGTTCTTCACGCAAGTTAATGCTATGGGACTCATTGAAATAACATTTCATATGTTCATGGTACTTTATAGGTTGTAACTAATTTTCCTTCCCTCATAAATGTATAAAACCTTATCTCCATAGCAACCCTAAGAGGTAACTGCTCTCTGCAAGGCAAGTTTAACAAGTTTAACTTTCTCAGAATCGCAGGGACAGAGGTAGGGCTCCAACTCAGGCTTCTGCATTGGAGTCACTCTTCCTGTCTTCATATTCCACATCCTTCTGCCCCACGACTGCATCATGCTGAGTGGTAGCCGGTGGTCTCTGGGGCTGTATGACTTAACTGAAATGAAATAAAGTTGCACACTGAATTCCTCAGTCAGGCTAGCAGCCTTCCAAGTACTCACGAGTCACCTGTGGCTTGTAGCAACTGCACTGAGAGTGCAGATTGAGGGCATTTCCGTCCTCACGGGGTTCTGTCCAGCACTGCTGACCTGTAGCTCTGTCCTCAACATGGCCTGGATGGTTCCCTTTGGTTCATCGTTTCTAGCCCTCTGCTTCACACAGTGACTGCTCTTCCCAGGGGCTCAGGAAGTAGGCTTGTTGAGCCTTTCCGCACAAAGCTCAAGGGTCCCCTAAAAGAATCCGGGTGCAGTTGTCCCTCAGTGTCCATGGGGGCTGCTTCTGGGAGCCCCATGGATACCAAAATCTGTAGATGCTCAGGTGGCTTTTATGAAATGGCATAGGTTTCGCACATCACCTGCCTACATCCTTCCAGATGCCTTCAGTCACGCCTAGGCTGTGTATAATATCTAATGCAATGTAAATAGCTGCTGCACTCTACTGCTTGGAGAAAATAAGGAAAAATGTGTACATGTTCAATATAGACACGATTTTTTTTAATCCAACATTGGTCGAATTCACAGATGAGCAACCTGAGGGTACAGGGGTCTAATGGTACGAATTTGAACCCTTGTTTGCTAATTGATAGTGAGATCTGTTGAGAACGGGCTTCCGACAGGGAGGTTCCGATGTGATGCAAGAGCGCCACGTCTTCACAGGTGTTCCACATGAAATCCTCATAGCTAAACAGGACAAGGCCTCTGACAGCCTCACATCCCATGCAGTGGCTCCCAGAGGGATTTACTTTACTGTGGAAAGCCCCCTTGTCCTGCAGGGACAGCTACCCCATGAGGCTGGCTTGCCTGAGCACAGGACTCAGATACCAGAAGGCTGCACCCCTGAGCCCCGCCCCACAGGTGTCTGCAGTGCTGCAGACTGTGTCTTTCTTCAAGGACGCTTTGTTTCCACCAACAGTATCAGCACAGCATTCATCCGATCTTCCTATGTTTTTTGTTATGTGAATAATAATAATAATAATAATAAATAATATTACCCTAGGTGAACTTAGCTCAAATAGAATAAATCTGTGTTCAGTACAAGGAGGGAGAAAGGAAACTAGGCAGGTGCCAAGAACCCTGCCACAGCAGGACAGTGGTCTTAGGGGTCCCCCGAGGAGCACCGCAGTCTCCCCTTCCACACCCGGCCCTGCTGGGGGGGAGGTGGCAAGTGCCCAAGGTCAGGAGGGAGACTGCTGGCGTATGGTCCCACGGGACATGCCAGTTTGAGGGGAAGACAGAAAACCACTCCTGAAAGAACTATGAGTTTGTCCTGGGGAGGTGAGCGTTCATTCACATCACACACAGCCCTGCCACACTCCGGGAGAGGTGCTTTCACCTGTGCTACTCCCCTGCTCACTGCAGCAACTATTTGACACTTTAACAGTGTCAAATAATAAAGCTTTATGAGTAAGAACAGAATAAGTAAGCCTTGGAGACTAGCAGAACATTTCAAAATTCCCCCCTCACAGGGCCAGGGATTTAGCTCAGTGGTACTGCCACGTGCCTCGAAAGCACAAGGTCCCTAGTTCGATCCCCTCTCTGCTCACTGTGATAATTATCACACGAACCAAAAGACAGAGGTGGCTGCTGTACCGTGAGCAGTGGCTGGTTCAAGTGACATGGACAGATCTTCACTTCCGTGGTTGGGCACCACCCTCCCTGCACCCCAGAGCCAGAGCTGAGTGGTGAGAGCGCTTTCACTGCAGTGTGTGTGAAATCAAAACCCAGAACTAAACCTAATGGAATGTTCTGCCCGCACTCTCCCTGAACACTGCCTGCATTTGCATTGCAAGATTACTAGTCAGCAGGGAATACCATAAACTTCCTGTGATCCTGCGCTCCGGAGCTAAAGCCACATCAGGGCAGCCCTGGATTGCAGCTTGTGTCCCCGCTTGCAGGAGGCACGAAACACTTTGCCATTGTTAGGAACCAGTTTTGACTTTGGCCAACTTAGGATGCAGTCACACCTGTGCCACATGCCGGTGATGAGATCCTGGCCAGCCGAAGAGTCCAACTCTTGGGTCCTTCTTATGTGAAACAGGTCAGAGGAAGCCGTACCTCACGGGCTCAGGTGAGAGTGAAATAACGTGATGCACGTGAAGCATTCGGTGCAGAGATTCCTGCCGCCTGCTTGATAAACACGCAGCCTTTTAATTCATTGCTGTGAATATTTGGAAAGGATTTCATTATTATGCATTAGAACTTTCGACAGTGTTTTGCTTTCAAGATGATATCGTGTCTCAATTTCAATCCTTCCAACCCCGCGGCGCAAGAAGGTTCAAGGAGAATAATCACTTCACCCTGATACACATAACCCTCAACTGACGTGCTGCTTTACATGGTGTAAATATCACAAACACATCATATCTCGAATATACGAAAGGGATATAAGTACTTACACGGAGCTTGCGTGGTGGGTAAGAGCGCTGGCGTGGGACTTAGGTCACCGCCAGCCACTCCACTTCGCAGCCTCAACGTCCTGTGTTCGGCCCCGCCGAGGATCCCCCGAAGGCGGCTGCGACGCGGTCCCTGCTCCAGGGAAGGGGCGCAACCTGGTAGTGTTGAGAAGGGTGATGCAAGGCCACCGGCCCAGTGCCCCACAGAGTGCAGCGAGCCTGCCGGAGGGCAGGAGGGGGGCCGGGAATTCTCCGGGCGGAGGGTGGGCGACCACCTGCTCTTCCTCCCTTTCCTCTCTGCGGCCTTTGCTGCAGGAAGAGGGGGCCTGGGAAGCCCAAGGGGGCGCGGTGCTGCTGCAGCCCAGGCGGAAGCACGTCTGGAACCACCGGATGTTGTAGAAGCAGTGGCACGGGTTTAACCTGCCTCGGCTCTCCCGGCCTCGCAGAACGTGGTGAGCCACCAGGTCCACGGGCAATGAAGGCCTCCGCACACTAGTGCGGGAGAGCGGGACTCGGAAGTGAAGCCGCACGCGATACAGGGTCTCTGAGGATCCTGGCACCTCAGAGTGAGAAGCAGAAAAGAAAATCCTGAGGACAGATAACAGAGGCAGTTTGTGGGGTGAGGGGCAGCCACAGAAATGGAAGGCACAGGAGTTTACCAGGAATCCAGTTTCTAAACTCCCCGCCCCCATGAGCGGTTCGCCAATCCCACCAGCAGGGGGCGCGGTAGCCCCACCACTGTACAAACTCTCCAGAGACTGATCTGCCAATTGTGTCATTTTAGGATCTTTTCTTTATACAGTGTGTCTGGGAAATATTACATTATATTGTTATGATCTTTTCCAATCACCAGGTTTTAAATTGTGAAGATAGGAAGGAGTACATGTAAAATGCAAAGCAAAGATGAGTGATGTAAAATTTAAAAAGTACTAAGAACACCACGCTCTTTTGATTAGACCAGACTGTCATTTCTTACATGAAATAATGACAGTGCTAGCACTGATTGAGCACTTTTACACGCTGGGCACTGTCCTAGCACTTTATTGATATTTACTCAGGTAACTCTCCCCATAACCCTGAGATGAGATAGGTCCAAGGTCACACAACTGACAAGTTGCTAGAAGCTGTGCACTTCTACAGAGGAAAATCGACGGTATAAAGAATGTGCTACTTCTGCGGAGAAAGATGCTGGTCGCTTCATTTCCTTTCTTTCTTCTTAGTCTATGAAACCCCAAGGCATCTTCATCATTTTGAACAGTTTCCAAAATCTTAATTTAGAATGTCTTCAAATAAGAGTGTACCGGCGCAGACAGGAATTCTTCAGAAACAGGGGTTATCAAAAGGATCTGAAAGCAATAAATGAAGATTACTTCAGTAGGAGAGTTTCCCAAAGAGGCCCTGAAAGTGGGGAACATTATAGAGAAAGAGGAAGAGACCGATTCGTAATTTTAAGCGTGTAAGCAGGACTCATAACAACCCACAGGACCTTGCCCATTTCACTGCCATTTTTGTCTCCAGGAGAGCACATTTAGCATTTCTCCTTCAAGGCGCATTGTTTTCTAATGCAGCGAACTTGTTTTATGTACATATAATAAAATAGAAACATCTTACAGTTTTTCCTCTTTAGAAAATATATGTACTAAGGCAGTAGATTTTTTTTCTTAGAAGGAAAGTTTAATCTTCTTTTGTGTGGATTGCTACATATAAACAAAAATACAGTTGAGCCAGGCTCACAATCGTGTTCAAAGTGACCCTTCCCTTTAGTTATCCTACCTGGCTTCAGCTGGCTGTGAAACTTGCCAAAGAATTTGCTGAAAATTGAAATTTTCAGGGTGAAGGCTGTTGATATCTGCAGTTTTAACGCTGTGTTCTTCATTTTTCTGCCCCATCATAGATGGTGAATTTATATATCTTCTTAGCTCACAAAAATGGGTCTGTCACCTCCTACCTGTGTGACTCGGAGCAAGTCATTTAAACTCTTTTTGCTTCACTTTCCTTATCTGTGGAATAGAAGGGAAAAAAACATAAGTTTCTGTAAAAGATGAATGAATATGTAAAAAGTGTCTAGAATATGGTCTGGTACATAAAATGTACTCAATAAAAGTTAGGTTTTGTTTTCTCATTCTACTTTGGGGTACTTTCTCATGGAACTCGTCTGGGGATGGAAAGTATTTCACAAGAAGAATAATTGCGGTGATTTTGTAGTCTGGGCACTTGCATAATTTTTATGAATGCCTCCTTTCTCCCCATCACCGACAGGGATTATCTCAGTGACCAAGCCTTGTGGAACATGTGCAAAGGGCCCCCTGATGTGGTTCCCTGGAATCTGACCCTCTTCTCCATCCTGCTGGTCATAGGAGGAATCCAGATGATTCTGTGTGCTGTCCAGGTGATCAATGGTCTCCTGGGCACCCTCTGTGGAGAATGCCAAGGAGGCTGCTGTGGGGTAAGTTAGGTCTTTGTCATTTCTGCTCATCATCAAGGAGGCTGCATCAGTCCCCATGGGTGCTTGTGGATGAGGGCGGTGAGGGTGACAGGATGCAGAAAACTCAGTCCGGCTGGAGACCACAGTCATCCCATCGGTCAGCTCAGGGAACAGGCGCTGCACGACTGTGTGTTAACGCCCAGGCTGGCACTGACCGCTGCCTGCCATCTGGCCAGGGGGCTCAGTCCCGGGGAAAGAGGACTTCACCTACATTGGTATTTCTATGAAGACCCACAGAAAATGCACATTCACCATATGGGCTCATTGCCAGGAGTAGCGCGTTCTGATCTGGCCTGCGTGGCTGCATGTCCTCAGGTGAATAAAACGTACCAAGTCAAAACCTACACTATGATTTCAGATACAGAAAGGAGAAGTGGTTCTTTTGTTTGGTACCAGGGATCGAACTCACAACCTTGTGTTTGCAAGGCAAGCGTGGTGCCACTGAGCTAAATCTCCAAGAAATGGTTCTTACAGAACAGAAAAACAGGCAGTCACTCAAGACTTAGTCTTTAAATATCATCATAAATATCAATGTCAAAACATAAAAATTAAAAATAAGCAAAGGCAGTAAGAAGGTTTGAGTATTTTGACCAATGACCAAATTATATGAGGAATTATTCACACATGCTCAAATTTACTAAAAAGCACAAAGAAGAAAAAACTGAGTAAAACTTGTTTGTTCTCTAACTGGAGATTTACGAACATAAAGATCTCTGTACTTATGCTAGTACTTTAAATGATTCAAATAATTTTTTACACTTAAGCATGACAGCTCGAATATTAATTGTGTGCATATGCATACATGTGCAGAAATAGATAAAGATATTCAATTGGAAAGTGTCCCTCCCTTCCTTTGCCTTTACCCCCGCAATTCTCTCCGCTCTTTCCACGCCTAGCTGTATGATTTCCTCTGTATCCTTCCAGAGCAGTGATGGCGAACCTTTTAGAGCTTTCAAAGGTAACGAGCAGCCCGCTGTGGCACACGTGCCATAGGTTTGCCACTCCTATCCTTGAGTATCTTTATTATTTTTTTCTTCCTATTTTCCCCTGACTTGTAATTATTTTGAAAATGTTTATGAGTTAGTGTCATTTGAAAAGAGCAGAATATAAACATTATATGTGACATAAAATTATAAAAGTAAGAAATAAAAAAGCACTATGAATAGAAAAAAGAAAAACTAAAGGAAATCCAATCAAAATGTTAAACAATGGTTGTTTCTTTGGATGAAGACTCTTTTCTTCCCTGTAGACTGTAATATACAAAAACATTTTAGTAATCAAATATTGCTCCAAAAATATAAATAAGCCTCCCAAATCCACAATGAAATGTACTTAATACAAATAGATTTTACTGCCTATGGAATTTTTATTTTATACATTTTCAACCGTATTGAAAACTTTTTTTTATCTCTATACATAATCCAAGGTGGGGAAGATTACTAGTTAGTAACCACTAAAATTATTTTTATGATGCAGTTAAGAATATGGAGCATTTCCCGGGATTTAGCCACAACTGCCTTGTCAGCGCAAGGTCCTGAGTTCAATCCCTGGTACTGCAAAAAAAAGAATATTGAAAATTTAGGGCAGGGAATATGTATAGCTCAGTGGTAGAGTGCTTGTCGAGCATGTGTGAGGCCTTGAGTTTGATCCCCCAGCACTATAGGGAAAAGAATACTGAGCCTTTAAATTTTGTAATTGTTTCAAAATGAATTAACGCTTGCTAAATTAGCTATGCAGAGTCATATGTTTTAGCTGGGTGATAAATTTTTCTTTACAAATTGATTGAAAATGTGATTGCCTTTTAAATAGATGTAAGAATTTACTAAATCTAAGGATTATCTGTCCATGTTAAAATGCACCCATATTTCAGGGATCTCAGTGAGTGGAACACTCTGTAGAAGAAAGACTGCCCAAGGGCACCAGAGAATTGCAGATGGTGAACATTTGCCACCAGAATTCCCTTCCTTTTCCTCCTCCTCTTCTCTTTCTCCTTCCTCTCCTTCTCCTCTTCCTCCTCCTCCTCCTTTTTTTTTTTCTGTTTCTTTTTTTTTGGGGGGACCGGGGATCGAACTCGTATCCTTGCACTTGCAAGGCAGGTGGCGGCATCACTGAGCCGAGTCCTCGGCCCGCTGCGCCTTCTCCCTCTCCCTCTCCCTCTCCCCCTTGCCCTGCCCGTTCTCCTGCTCCTTCTTCTCCTCTTTCCCTGTACCCACCCCAACTCTTTATTTTGAAAACTTCAAATCCACATAAAAATTGAAGGGAAAATACATGTCCCACCTGAATATTTTCCTAAATGGGAACACGCCTGAAAGTACAAGTTGGTGGCCTGGTTGGACAGCCAGCTGTGTGATCTTGGACAAGTCAGTAGTAAACTGGGTGTTACTGTCACATCCTCCAGTTACTGAGCGGCGATCACTGCATTCATTTCAACACTTAGAAGGCTCAGTAAATGCTGCTGATTGTTAGTATGAAAATCAGAACCGCGGCACAGCCTCAAGAAAAAGAGCCATCTCTGGCTCCTGGGTTCAAATACTGGATCCTCTACATACTGTATTTGTTGTGACTTTCAGCACAACACTTCTGTCTGTGTCTCTAACCAAAATTATGTTTAATAATAGATAATGCAAAAGAAAATGAAGTTTCAGTCCCATAACCTAAAGACATAAAGACAGTTGGAAACTCTTAAATGAAGTCAGGAAAGTCCAGAGAGCATTCAGTAGGTGAACCAATAAGGGTCAGGCGTAACCAGCAGCGAGAGGGGTGATGGATGGGGAGGAGAAAGAATTGAAGAAATGACATCATCATTCATTCTTCTTTTTCTCTTTCTGTTCTCTAGGCAGAAAGACCAGTCTAAACCTCTGCAGTGAGCTGCTCTAAACCTGCAACATTTGGAAAGGTGTTAGACTCAGTTTCCCTGCTTAGACTGTTCATTCTCATCTGCACCCCCACTGACAAAGCTTAGGGAAAGCGCAGCTATCCCTTCTCCTGACAGCCGGTTTATTTTCAAATAAAAAGTAGATTCAATTTTTGATTTATAAGTTTCTCAAATTAGCTCCTGTTTAGAGTTTAAGAACAAGTTCAAAGTCAATTTTCCATGTTTTTTTTTTTTCTTAAGAGTGTCAAATGTATGAAGTTACGTATCCTGCCAGACTGCTTCTTTGTATATAAAGATGTTTATATCTTTGGAAGCTTTACTAAAGTCAAGGGAGGAAAATGAATTAAAAATGAGAAACTAATTTTTTCCAGATTTATAGGAAAGGGATGATTAATGTATCATAAATGATTTTTATGTAATGCTTTTTTTTTTTTGCTAATTTGAGTTACTACTTATGAATAGCTTTTTGCTAGGCTTCCCTCATGTATATTAAATTGAAATTTGAATTCAGAGATAATGTAATAAAGATTAGATGTCATTGAAGGAGGCCCAGGAGCAAAAGGTTGAATGGATAATGCCTTTAATCATTTTAGAAATGCTTTCTTTGACCAAACGAAAATGTTTCTAAAAAGTTGATTTGAATGTTACTTTTGCAGTCTTTTTCCAGGATTAAGACAATAAGTAATATTAATTCTCGGTGTGACATTAGGACACTAACTAGTTTTATGTGTCAGAAATTAAAATGAAAACCAACCCATTTGATTGATTTTAGGCTCAAACCTAAATCCAGCTTCAGGATCCTGGAAAAATACTTTTCTCAGCCTTAGTTTCCTCATCTGTAAAACAACTGTTAAAAGACAGTGATTCAGGAAATTCCGAAGTCACCCAAGAAGGAAACAAAGACTTGGGGTACCGTAATCTTGACCTAATGAACAATCTGGAGGGTCTTGGAGAGAATCGTGTACCGGAGAGGTTCCCCTTCTGCACCCTTCGAGCTGACAGGCTGCACGCTGAAAGTGGGGATACTCGTGGTATCAATAAAACATTAGTGATCGCCTACTGCTTGCTCTCCACTGATGGCTGGGCACTGAAGACACAGAGAGCACCTCGCTATGATTTTATTCTCATTGTAATACAAAGATAAGAACTCTGTGAGATGAGAGATCACATCCGGACCTGACATTTAATAGGCAGAAGGGAGATAGACAGGCAAACAGGACTTTAAAATGTTGGTGGTAAAGTACAAATACACACAAAAAACACATACACACACGTGTGCGCACGTGGAAGTTGGTCTCGACTCTCTGAATACTTCTCACAGGAGTGGCCAACTATGTGTTGCTTAGTGAGTGTGTGACAAATTTTACTGCTCTTTGGGCTACAAGTTTGGTTTGAGGCAAGGACAGAATCCAATTCAACTCTGATTCAATTCTACTCCCCAAGGGCCTGACATGGGGCCCAATGCACCGTAGCTGAAAATCTGCTCTGTGAACACGGGGGCCGGGCTCCTCTGACTGAGGTGGTGTTCTTGGTCATAGGAAGCCTTCGGAAATGAGTAGAAAAAACAAGTAGGAAGCTTGGGTCCCTGTGACAAGCGGAAGATGGGGCGGGAGTGATCTCAGCACACTCTGTTCGTAGTGCAGTGGTCTTCGCTATAGCTGCATTTGATTGCTAACCCTGGGACACCCCTCCTTCATTTGGAGAACACAAGGCCCAGCGGCTGCTTGAATGGGGGAAGGAAGACAGGAAATGTCAGGAAGAAAAAATAAATAAAATCTAAATTATCTCAAAATATTATGTTAGCTACATACACGTAACACCCTGATGGACCTGAGCTATTAGTGGTGATAAAGGGGACAGAAAAGAAATACATTTTATTTATTTATTTATTTATTTTAATAATTGTATTTATGTATGTATTTATTTGGTACCAGGAATCGAACTCAGGACCTTGTGCTTGCAAGGCAGGCGGCGGCATCACTGAACTAAATCCCCAGCCCAAAATACATTTATATTTGATCCAAACGTATCAGGTGCACACACACACACACACACACACACACACACACACAGGGCAAACAAGCTGTTGTAATTAAGTGTCAGACAAAGTAAATACAGGCGACGTGGCTCTTCTCCCACAGCTGGAGCCCAGTGTCTGCCTAGGAACTGAGGGCAGCTCTGCACAGAACAGCTTAGGACCCTGGAGAATGTCCAGAAGGAGCACGAGACAGGTGGTCACACAGGGCGCCCGGAGACAGACACCACCATTCTTTAGTCTACAAAACCCACCCGGGGGCGCCAGCAGGAGCGAAGACTCCGGCTTATTCTCACAGAACAAAGCGAAATCCAGTTTGGTCACTGAGTCACGGAATAGCTGTCTAGGCACAACTCCTGAGACACAGGAGAAAACATTCTAGAGTAATCCACGGGGCTAATCATCCAACAGGCGGGACGGGACACACATATCAGGAAGGGAGGCTGGCAGAGACGGAGACAGAGAAGGAGGGAAGGAAAACAAAAAGAGTTAAACGAGTAGGTCCAGGACGTCGAGCAATGAGTGGGAGGACCGCTGAGACCGCACCCAGGGAGGGATACTTGCTTATCTGCAAAATGACTTCATCTTGTATTAGGAGCATTCATAGGCTGATCTTGACGTTAACCCAATGAATCAGTCAGAGCTCAGCTGTCTACCAATCACAGGCAGCCACGCACATACGTCTGCTGCAAGGGCTTGGCTGGGAACCGGCTAACTGTTGGAACTACGGAGCAGGCTCTGTGAGGCTGTTGGCTCCGTGTCTTGAGCTGGAGATTGAAATCACAGGGCGGGCAGGCAGCGGCGATCACACTTGGGTTGGAGAAAAACACCATCAAGTTGAACCTACCAGCAGGAGCTGGGGCCTATGGCGACAGGCTGAAACTCTCAGTCTGTGTCACCTCTGACCTCGATGACGGGTCCTGCAGCAGCAGACGCACCGTCTGGCCTGCAGTAAGGAGCTGAGGAAGGATCTGGGGATGGTGAGGCGGCGGGCCAGGCGCAGCCTGTGTCCCTGGTGTGATGAGTGGTCAGGGACGCTGCTGCTTGCACTGCTCTGCGGAGAACTGGAGAACCCGCTGGGCTGCCCCCCAACAAGTGCTGGGGGGCGTTGCAGACCTGCAGTGCAGCAGAGCCAAGCTAACACGTTCCAAACCCACCACACCAAACGTGGGAAGGGAAGGGCCTTTCGGTCTCCTTGCATGTGGGCACGTGTTAATCTCCGTCAGGGTTTTCAACCTCTACACCACTGACAGCCCTGCCCTGTGTGTGCTGGAGTGACTGCTCTCCTCTGGTCAGATCCCCGAAAGGCCCTTCCTTTCCTGTGGATGAGAACTCCTTGAGCTGCAGAACAGCCTCATCCGTGTTTGGGACCCAGATCTAGCACATAGAAAGTGTTCACTAAACGGGACATTATTACTGTTATGGTAATATGGATACATTGCTCCACTCAAAAGGAAAAGAAAAAACCTACTCTCGAGCATTTGGAATCAAGCAATTACGATAAAAATAACCCAAAACTTTGGTGAGTGATATACATGAGTAATTCTGCTCAATCTGCAAAACTGACCGAGGGCTCACACTTGCCCATTCCTTCCTCTCTGCTTCCTAGTTGCTATGGTTTCGACCTAGAAAGTCCCCAGAGGGTTCATGAGTTCCGAGGGGAGGCCTGGGGAAGGTGATCGGGCTGTGGGGCGCTAAACTCAGCAGCAGATCAATCCACAGAGAATCCACACTGGTGTGTTATTAGGCGGTGGGTTCGTCAGGAGAGGTGGGTCATGGAGGTGACCTGGAAGGCTCTCTGTCCCTGCTCGGCTCTTTCCTCCTCTCGCTCTGCCCCCTAGCGGCCATGGGCAGAGCAGCTGTCCTCTGGCCACACCTGCTGTGTGCTTTTTCCTGCTTTGGCATCAGCTGACCACACAACCATGAACTGCAAACATAAACTGAAATAAACTCCTGTTTTAGGTTGTGGGTATCAGATATTTTGGCCCAGCAACAAGGAAAGTGACCGAGACACTAGTCTTGACCTAACTTTAGCTAAGCTTCCTTCCTCCTCCACTCCCCTGAACTCTGCTAGCCTCCAAACCTGAGCCAAGCTTCCCATCTGCGGATCGGGAGCTGAGTGAGCCCAGTCAGCTGCATTATGTGTCAGGCCTGATCACGCCGAGCCTCCCTCTTGCTTTTAACTTCTCATTCTGGCCAAGGTCTGCTTGCTTCTCCTCCTAGAAGAAAAGCCAGCCAGGTATCGTGGTGCATGCCTATAATCCCAGCATTCTGGGAGGCTGGGGCAGGAGAATTGCAGGTTCAAGCCCAGCCTGAGCACCTGAGTGACATAGGGACTACCTATCTCAAAATAAAAATTAAAAAGGAGGTAGGGATATAACTCAGTGTAAAGGCCCTGAGTTCAATCCCTGGGACCATTGGAAAAAAGAAACAGACATCTTTTCTCTGTGTGCGTGTGTGTGTGTGTGTGTTTGACATAAGTAACTTATGAGACATACAGGATACAGACATGGATGGTCTGCACGCCCAGACCTTCTGCCACTGTGCCACACACAGTAGTGACTCTAAAAGTGTCTAGGACAGGAAGCTTTGTAATGCTGATGTCAAGTTCTTATATAGAACTGAAAATGATAAAAATGTTACCTTTAAAATGTCCTAAACTGTACTGCTCATTAGTTCACGGTTATCTAAACGAGTGAGATTGTCAATGAAAATATTATCAAAATCATTATCTTTATACAGCCCCTCGACGCACCTACCCCTAAGGTGCCACACAGCACCCTCTCCCACCCGACTGCCTGGTCGTGGGCTGTTGACCACACAGTTCTACCTTCCATGCGCAAAAAGTCCAGAATGCAGAGGCCAATTTCTAGCGCCCTCAGGGCTGCAAAGGTCGGTGCTTCAGCTCTCTGCCTGCAGGACAGGCTTACCTGCTCCCATCTTCCCCACCACCCCATCCAGAGCTGGCGCCGCTCAGTTCTTACTGTAGCGCAGACGCTGTTATTCACATGCACCGAAAGCATTTAACAGCTACACCCTCAAGAGTAGCCATGCTGCTATCACCCTTATTTGGAAACTGGGGCATGAAATACTGAGGCACGGTTGAGGTAGTTCGTGGCAGAGCAGCATTAAACTTGGGACAGCCAGGAAAGGTTAAGATTATTCTCAAAACATCTCAATTTTCACCTGAGCTCGGTGAAAATAGAAAATAGCAGCAAGCGCTGGGAATGTTGGACCTGAGAAGCTGAAAAGTCCGGAGGGGAAAGTCCTGAGAGCTGAGGCCAATGCCTTGCAGCTAAGTTGCCATGATGTGGTTACTGTTACATCCTTGTTTCTGGCCTTGTAGGCTTCTTGGGGGAGCCTGCATGTTGCTCTCAGCATGGGGCACTTCTGGGAGCAGGGAGGGAGACCTGGGAGCTGACTGTGACGCTCAATGACCAGAGAGCCTTGGAAAAGCCTCTCCCTCTGTCCAGAGGCCTCAGTTTCCTCCTGGTAAGTGAGAGCCGTGAGCTAGGCTGTTGCCAAGTTCCTCTCTGTCGCTGTCCTGCTTTGGTTTGGGGTTGTCAGAAGTACCCTGGACATTACAACTCAGGTCTACATAGTTTAGCCCCTTGGAAGAGTGGGATTTCCCACCCAGAAGCCACAGCTGGATGGACACTCAGGCTGGCAAGAGGATAAACATGTTGGTCAAAATCCAGCTAAGCAAAATCCAATGTCCATTCCACGCCCCACCTCAAAGGCACGCATTTAACAGGGAGAAGCCCAGGCATCAGGGTGGTTTTGTTGCTGATGCTGTTTTTGCTTTGCTTTGATTTTCTTTTCCTTGCTTTGTTTAACTCACGCAGGCAGGTTTTCAAACTGCTCTGAAATGTTCTCAAACTTGAGTCCTGGATGACTTGCTAAAATAGTGTTGGTTCTCACCCCAAAGTTTCTGATTGTGTAGGCTTGGAGGTGAGTATTTCTAGGAAGTTCCCTACAAATGTCAATGCCGTTAGCCCTGAGTCCAAACTTTGAGAACTTCAGA